ATTGATGTGCACTGAAAAATATTGATATATATTGAAAAGTATCGATGCATATTGAAAAGTATTGATACATATACATTAATACGCATCGATATTTATTGAAAAACATTTTTTTTCTGATATATAAAATCTAGTAAAGATGGTCGCTCGTCTTCATGATACATTTTACGATGCTAAGGCAACCCTATTATCAGAAGCTGATATCAAGGAAATTAGAGAATCTAGAGGCAGGATACCCTATGCATCAAAAAAAATGGCTGATAAATTTCATATCGGACCTAAGCGTGTCTATGAAATATGGGATAATAAAGAACGTCTCCAGCAAGGGGTGATCCTAGATGGACCGGTCATTTCATCTCAGCCTGCTTTGGATAAAAATTCCCAAACTGATAAGACAGAACAGACTCTTGAAGCAGTATCATCTATATCCCTTCCGGCTACAGAGATTCCAAAAAAGAATGGTCGAAAAAAGAAGGTTAAAATAGATGAGAAGCCGGTTACTGAGGCAACTAGTATGGTGGAAAAAAATAACAAAAATGGTATGGTCTCTTCCTCTGATAATTCTTCTGATACATCCCGAGAAGACAGGGTGGAATCTCTTTTTAAAAATCTAGTTAATCGTAGTGAAAAGCTTAAGCTTAAGAGTTTAACAGCTAATACCACTCCCCTTATATAAGGATTCACATATATCAGCAAGAAATTTACCGGTACTTAAGGCCGAATAGAGCATTTCTTCAGTCTTTATGAGGCGTTTTTCAAGCTCTTCGCACTTTTTTTTAAGTCCTCCTCACTAGTTGGGCTAGAGGAGTTAGTAGATGCTTGGTCTTGCTCTTCTTTAGGCAGATCTTTAACTACTGGAGCCTTGCTAAAGGTTAGGATGATATATGTCTTTCCATGATCCTCTATGCAGAACTGATTTTTAGTTAGATCAGAAATACCTTTAACTTTTTGAATTCCTGTAGTACCTAACCATAGCATTGGCTTGGGCTCACCATTGTCAACACAAGCATAATTTCCAACAATAGTGATGATTGGATTCCCTTCCATATCTTTCAGAGTGACCGCTACATTTGTATACCAACCTAGTGCTTCAGAGATATGTTCAGAATTACCTTTTACAGCGAATTTGGAAGGCTTATCAACTTTCCATCCAAGCTCTTCAGCAGTAGCTAAATTAAATCCATCAAATTCACTTCCGTTATCTAAAAAAGATTCAGAGATTGGTAAGTCATTTATACTAGCATTCAAGTATTGTAAGGACGAAAACCACTCATCTTTCTTTGACTTCTCTTCCTGAGCCTTTCGAGATAGACACATTTTGCGCATTGCTGGTGAAAGCTTTGGCAATAGCTCGTCATATGTTTCAGGTTGGCTAGATTCTAGGGGTGAGATTGCATTAGTATCACCGGCCAACTTTTCATTTACTGGTACCTGTTTTTTTTTCCGGTGTATAATACCAATCATTATCTACTTTGTCATAACCATCCCATCATTTTCCTCACCATCTGAATCGGGAGGAACTATTGGCGTAAGAGGTTTAAAATAAGACCGATTAAAATTAG